ACGGGGTTATAAGCTATGCCTGGTACTAAGGCGATATTGGGGAGCTTACAAGGGCACAATATGGGTGAGTCGAAGGCAAAGCTAAGATTCCATCTATAATAAAAGATTTTAGATAGGGAAAAGAAAAGAGAAAGAGAATTAGGTATAGGCGTACAGATTTGAATAAATACCCTAATCGTATAAGCGATAGCGGGACCTATAAACGGGTCGCTATTAGCCAATCCCTTTATTTGTATCCCCTTTACTTATAGGATAAACCTTATACGTACTAGAATCTAGCCTATAATTAATTTTAATATAGCTCAAAGAATAGTTTATATTCCCTAAACTGTACTATACTTAAAATCCTCTATATACTTTATTTTAGCAGTTACCTAGTATATAATACTTAAACCTAGTTCGCTAGCGCTATTATATTACCCCCCCCTATATAGAAGATTCGTCCGCGAATTTTACTAAATAATTATATAATATATTTATTTCTTCCTTATAATATATTATGAACGCTTTAATCCCTCCTTTTTAGGATATTCGTTATTGTTGTACTGCTCCGTATCCTTGTTAAGCTAATTTATTAACTATTAGAGCGGGCTTAAAGCGTCCGGGTTAGCCTTATAAAACTCCTAAAGTACTTTCGGTATATATTTAAAATTAAAGGCGGGATACTATTCCGGATTAGAGTTCTAGCCTCTCTAATCCGCCTAATAAAAGAATTTTCCGTTAGCTACTTTGAAAGCTGTAATTTTATCAATCTCCTATTCGAAATCCCCATCTTCATTTATATTAATTAAGCCGGAATATTCGAACGCCTATTCAAGGAGCGGGTTATTATTATATTTCTATAAACGGTCTACGTAGAAGACGTCGGTACCCTTCTAATTCTTTAATAATTCTAAATAGTAAGAATACCTTACTTTCTCAATAATCTTATAATAATTTTGAGTATTAAGGAAATTAAACTTATTATTAAGTCGAATAATCGTAAACCAAAGCCTCTTAATAATAATAACCCTATCTCCTAATTCGAAATTAGGCTCCCTTCTCTTCTTATTAGCCTATACCGCCTATTATTCTTATACCTTCAACGTCTTTCTAGCGTATTCGACGTAATTTCAAATACGTTAAGCGTAATCTTACGCTTATTCCCGGATTAATTACTCCGTCCGTCATATATTAGGGTCTTATATATAGGTATTCTAATTAAAAAATATTCTTATTAAGTATCCGAATATAATTTCGTAGGGAAATAGGCCTATACTATTTTGGGGAAGGCTATTTTATACTACGTTTAAGGTTAGGATAGCTTCGGACTAATTATTTTAATGATAAATAACGAATAGCCGGAAGCGTTAATTGATATAAATATTTATAACCTCCGCTTAGCCCGCTATTTAATTATATTTTATAGTAGCCAATTTCTATTTTATTTTTATTAATTTTAATATTTCGTCCGTAAATACGGACGTAAATTATAATCCTTTATTGGAAATTACTTCCTTTAAATATCTTATAAATATAGTTAGGTCCTTTATAATATATCCGAGCGGCGTCGCAAATTATAACGTTTTTTATACAAGGGGTAACCCAAAATAATTTTAATAGGCGGTCGATTATTATTAACGTATTATTGAAACCGTATTTATCCCTTAATATTTTTTTAAAATTTATAATAATAAACGTTTATTTCCGGGTTAGTAAGGGAATCGGGTAAAGTAGACCCGGTATTTTATCCTTAAGGACCTTACTAATTTTATATATTATATAATTTTTAACGAAATAGTCGATATCTCTAATTATATACAGCTACCAGTATTGTATTTTAAAAATTGTTCGGGTTTTATTTTTTCTTAAATAGGCCGTAATTAATGTTAAATAAATTTTATCGATAATATAAGTACGTAGGTTATCTAATTTAGAGACGATTAGGCGATCCTAATATATTAAAAGTTTATTAATTAATATTATAAAATTAGGGTTTGAATTATAAATGTAAATATAATATTCTTTTAAAAATTCGTCCTCGTAATTAACTTTTATAAAAGCGTCTACTAATTCGTATCCGTCTAATTTAATAAAACTTAATTTATTTATATTTAAAACTATAATTGAAATCAATTCCTCTAGCGGGCCGGAAACGGTCGTAATATAAGTAATAATAAAGACTTTAACTCCATTTTCTTCTATTAATTTAAATATTTAGAGCGTATAGTACGCATTCTTCTTATCTTTTTAAGTCTTAAAATCTTCGGATTTTCGAGAGAACGCGTCTATTACTACATTCTTCGTACTAGGCCGATACGTAATTTTAAAGTAGTATTAGGATAGGAACTTTACTTACCCAATTTATTGAAGATTAAAGAGGCGCTTAATATTAAAATATTCGAATACTTAATAATCGGTAATCATTCTAAATAGTTTATTCTATTAGAGGCCGACGAATTCGGGTCACTATATTTAGAGGGCTCTAATAATAGCGAACAACTCTTTATTATAAATAAAGTAATTATATTCAGTACTTTATATAATTTTAGAAAAGAAAGCTACTGGGTACTATTCTCTAGTATCTTCTTATAATCAAAATAGTATTCCTACTAATATTCCGTTATTAATATCTATTTCTACCCTTGTTTCAGTATTATAACGGAAATATTTTAATAGCGGGGTCTCTACGAATAGTCTTTTAAATTCTTCGAAAATAGTTTAATATTTATTAATTTATATAAACGCCTTTCCCTTTCGTATTAGGTTTATAAGAGGATACGCTATACGACCGTAGTTTTTAATAAAGTTTTAGTACAAATTATAGAACTTTAAAAAAAATTAAACACGTTTTAAATTAGAAAGTATAATTTATTCTTTAATAACCTCTACCTTTTTTAAGTCGATAAAAATATTATTTCGTCCTATAATAAATCCTAGGAATTTAATCTTTGTAATATAGAATTCACACTTCTTAAAGTCAATTTAACGCCTAATATCTTTTAATCAGCGAAGGACCTTCTTAACGTAAAATCGGTAGTCTTTTAAAGTATTAGAATAAATAAGGATATTATCGATATAGGCCCTATAAAAATTTCTTAAATATTTATTTAGGACCGAATTAACAAAATTTTGGAAATTAGCCGGGCCGTTAATAAAACTAAATAATAATACCTTATATTTAAAAGCCTCTATACTAGTACGGAATATAATTAATTCTTCGTTTTGTAATTTTCTATAAATACGGTAGAACGCTTATTAAATATCGATTTTTATAAATTATTATATTTTAGTTACCTTAGCGAGCATTTGTTCGATTAATAGTAACGGGTAACGATCTTTTTGAATAATAGTATTAAATTTCCGGTAATTTACGTAGAAACGAAGGCTACTATCCGCTTTCATTATAAATAAGACGGGCACGGCCTAACAGGATGAGTTTACTTTTATAAATCCTTTTAATAAATTTTCTAATATATATTTCCATATAACTTTTAATTTATTAAAGGACATTTTATATAGAAGGTTATACCCGAACTCTTTTAAACGATAACCTTTATTAAATTCGATTTTATAATTATAGGAATTGTATTTAGGTAATGTATTTAAATTATACTTAATAAAAACTTTAATTTCATTATAGTATTCGGGAGGAACTATTCGAAAGGCCTCGTCGCAAAATTCCTTTTTATTATAAGGGAGCGGTTCTTAAGCGGGGTTATTAATAATTTATTTCTATTAAATAAACTAATCGATTTTAAACATACTTATAGAATAGATTTTATAATTTTCTATTTTAATAAATCTTATAAACAAATTTCTATCTAATACGTATATTTAAGTAGGATAATATTTATATTAACCTATACCGTTACACTTTAATTAATAAATATTTTAAGCGTCTGATCCCTATTTACTTTCGGCGGGTTATTTTCGATAACGGGGTTGTAATTCGAATTCTGGAGATAATATTATAAGGTAAGTAAGATTAGTTAGGTTACGTTCTATTTTATTTAATAGATTTATTCTTTTTAAAAATTGCAGTAAGGTTTTAAAGAAAATAGCAGGGACAAACGTAATTAAATTCACTAATATTATTACAAGTATATTAAAAATTAACCGGGGTAATTAGAATAATTTTAAGTCTTTAGCCGGAAGCGGCCTCTAATTCGAAGATACGTTTCTCGATATCCTTTTAATATTAACGGGCTTCCTATCTATATCAATTTCGAATTTTAAAATTGAATACTTTCTTACAATAATTGAGGAAAAGTTAACTATTAAAAATAAATTCGGAGGAAATATTTCTACTTATAAAATAAAGAGCCGTTTATTTATTATTTTTCCTATTTACTCGTCGCTTATTTTCCTAAACTATTAATACGTCGTAGTATTTTAAATCCTTCTAATAAGCGGGGTTAACCGGGGCTGGTAAATTTTAAATTTTAAAGTATTTTAATTAGTCCGGGTGTGGTTTCTAATTTAAAGAAAACAATAAACAATAGTTTATATAATTTATTTAAGTATTATAAAGGTCGAACTATTTCCGGCCGATAATAATATCGTACGCTATATTAATTACAATAAAGTAATCGGGTGGCGTAGTTCGGTTTTGAATTTTTAAAGCGGCTCTAATAACCTCTTTAATATTCTAATTTATTTTTCCTTAATAATCGCTAATCCCTCGAATTAGGAAATTATTCGTAGATTCTACTAATAATCGTTTTTTTAATCTTTTGGCAAAGGCGGTACTAATAAATAAAAGAACGTTTAATCCCGTATCGATTAAAGTATTAAATATAGATAAACATCTTTATCATCAATTAAAGTACATTGAATGAATAAGGATTTTCTTCCTAAAAAGGGTATTAAATTAAATTTTTCCATTCTTTTATATTTCTATCTATCCTTTTTCTATTATTCTATAACTGATACTTCCCTTAAAAAAGAATTTAATTTACTTAGGGTAATTAATTTCCCTATTTATTAATTAAAATTACGGCCGAAATAACTAAAGCCTCTTATCTATTCTCGTAAACTAAATAATAATTAATAATAGCCGTAACGCAATCGCAACGTTCGCAATCGAAACGTTCTTTTTCGAAGTAATTACATTTAATATAACTCTTTTCTTTATAAAAGAAATATTTACTTTCGTTAAATAGCCGAATAGTCTCTTCGTAGCGGTCGCCACCTTAATAAATAGTACCTCCGCTTCGTCTAATAGGTTTGGGATCGGAACTAAATTCGAATTTAAAAATAAAATTTTAACCCTTATTACCGCCGTCGGAATTATTATTTTTATTCGATTTAAAAATAACTTTATTCTCATCGGCAATAATCTTTAATATTTATCTAAAACCGGAGTAATCTATATAATATAATTCAAAGGAAATAAATAAATCGCAATATTTTACGCTCCTTTACTTTTTTATATTTAATTAAAAAGCGTTAAAATAATTTTTATTTCTATTCGGCCTTAAAACGTTAATATTCGCTTATTATCCAAATAAATTTATTTGTAAAAAAATTGAAATTATTATTATTTTTCATTTTCAATTTAGTAAAGTTCTAAAGCGTATTCTCCTCCTAATTAAAATTATAATACTAACGCTATAAATAGGTTATTAAACCGGAGTAGGTCTTAATTTAATCCGGGTAGGTTTTATGTAAATATAATATTAGGTTATAATAAGCGTAATTAATTAAATAATTCTTAACGAATAGAAACTTATTATAGTCAGTCGGATAATAATTAATATTAATTCCGAATTTATTTTAAATTAAATTATACTAAACTTTAAAAGGAATATCGTTTTCCTTATTCTAATTATAATATTTAATAAGGTCGACTTACTTCGTATTACGGTAGCGGGAATTAGAACGTTCTCTGTCATCGGGATCGGTCTCGGGGAATAAAGTCGAAAAACGGGTAAAAGCCTTAAAAAGGGCTTCGCTAACGTCCTTCTCAATATTAGGGAATACTATTTCTTTAACCTTTCCCTTATTCTAACTCTTATTTTTAAACGCTCCTTTACTAATACTCAAATCGGTAATAAAATCTTTCAATCTATCGATAATTTCCTCTTTTTTAATAAGGGAATCTTTTAATTATTAGACTATAGCGGGGTTAGTAACGCTATAACGGTCGGCCAAAATAGGGACCTAATCGTAAATAATCTTAAGTTTATTATTTAAATAAAAAACGAGGTAATGAAATTCTAAGACCTATTCCTTCTATACTATACTTATAATAAATAGTAATTTAAATTCCTAGAATATAACCTAAGGATTTCCGTAGTATAGCTCCGCAAATTTCTCTTTAATTAAATAGCCAGAAAACGGGAGGCTCGAAGGGAATAATATTTAAAAGGGGACGTTAGGGATAGAATTATAAATAAATAATTTAGTAAATTCCTTTATCTTTTACTTTAAATCGTTAATAATTTCGTACCGGGTTAAAAGAGCGTTGAAAATCTTAATATTTTCGACCGCCGTAGTAATATATTAATCAAATAAATTAAAAAATGATTCGGGTTCCTTATTGTTTTCTCCCATATTAGCTACCACTTCGGCCCAAGCCTTATCGGATAATTTTAATTAATAATATATATAATACAAGGACTTCTTACAAAAGATCATAGACTTACTACGAAAGCGTTCCTTATTAGGGTAGAGGCCGTTATAGTATTCTTTATTAAAACGGACGGCTTTGCGCGCGTTATCCTTAATAATAAGATTAATAATTTAGCACTTAAGAATCGGCTTCTTATTATTAATAACAACTTTCTTCTTAAATTTCAATTTAATAACTGTATTTTCTTCTTACAAAACGTCGGGATTTAGAAAGCTAAAGCCTCCTTCTCTATTGCTATTTCCGCCCTCTTCTTTAAAAAAAATATTGTTTTAATTATTGTCGTTAAAAACGTCCCCGCTGTAAGGATCGTTATTATAATTCTCGGTCTACTTAGTACCCTTATATTTACCGGCGCTATTATATATTTAACGTAGCATTATTATTATACTATTAATTTATCGAAGGTAATTTAATACTTTAAATACTTATAATAGATCTTTCTAATTTTGTATTCGGTTTGGGATTTAACCTTCCTAAATAATTATTAGGTTGATTTGAAATAATATAAGGGTATAATATAGGTAAGTCGAAGGCAAAACTAAAATTCTATTTATAATAGAAAATTTTAAATAAGGAAAAGAAAAGAGGAAGAGAATTAAATATAAGTATATAAACCTAAATAAATACTCTAGTTGTATAAGCGATAGCGGGACTTATAAACAGGTCGCTATTAGCTAATCCCTTCACTCGTATCCCCTTTACTTACAAGATAAACCCTGTACGTATTAGGATTTACCTTGCAACCAGTCTTAGTATAGCTAATAGAATGGCTTATATCCCCTAGACCGTACCATGCCTAGAATCCTCTATATACCTCATTCCAGCAGCCACCTCGTGCATAGCACCCAGACCTAGTCCGCCAGCGCCGTTATAGAGCTGGAGTTTTCTATTTCTAGTATTGTCTTAAATTGTAATTATAATAGTACTATACTCCTCGATAGGAATCCGCTTATTTTTAGCCTCTATATAATTACTAGTATTTAATAGGGTAAAGTCTTTAAACCAATTAATTTTATTAAAAATATATATTATTATACTTAAATCGAAGATTATAGAGTCTTTTAGTAGGTATACGGCGCCGCGTTTCGCTATAGGCACTAAGAAATTACTCTTACTTACCCAGCGTTTATAGAATTAATTATTTTAGTCCTTATTGTCCTACTACGTTCGTAAACGGTTAATAATCTCTTTAAATATTTTATCCTTTTTTAAATTAGCGAACGCATGCTTCTTAATAATAAGACTTTCGATCTAATTTTTATAAGCTAACTATAGTTTAATATAGTAATATTTATTTAAATTATAGGCCGGCTATTTATAAAATTTGTACGGGGATTATTACGGTCGTTTATTTACTAGTAGGGACGAGGAGAAAGTACGCTTATTTTTATTAAAAAATTTTTAAAATTTGCCATTCTTATTTATAGTTTCTCACCGTCCCTTTACCTCCGGGCTAGGGTTTTATTTATTATTAGGAGCGTCCTCCTTAGCGGGTTTATTATTTAATATAATTACGAACGTAATATCTTTAAATAAGGGGGTACGACCCTTTCCCTAAGTAATATTCGCTATGATTATTTTATAGAAATCTTTAATTATAGTATAGAAAGAAATTTTAAAATTAGGGTTTCTTTCGATTTCCTTATTATATTAGAATTAAGAATTATTTATTTAAACGGTATAAGGATTCGATTTCATAATTATATAGAATTCTAGGAATTATAAATTTAATTTATTTATTTTAATAATTCTTCTAATAATATAGAAGGTTATAGCCGCCTCTTAATAAAAGGTTTAATTATATTAACTACAGTTAATTTTATTAAAAGGTTTAAAAATATTAATAAATTTAACCCGGGCGAACTTCTTTACTTTAGGGTTATTAAAAGTAGTAAATTTACTAAAATTATTGTACTATTTATATAAATTAATACATTTAGTAAAATTAGTTTCCTAGTAATTATTTCTAACGGTTTTAAATATTTAGCAATTTAATATAATTTTTTTATTACGTAAGTTAAAGAAGGTTTTATCCTTTATACGCTAATCCAACTTCTTAATTATATAGTTATAGTAATCGCGCTTATAATAAAAATTATATAATTTAACGGTAATAAATAGGGTAATTTCCCTATCCTTTTTAATTTCTTTAGTTTCTCTAGCGGGAACTTCCTTTTAGTAGTTAGCAATATTGGGTTTTATTAGTTCGGTTGGCTAGGGAATACGGTTATTTAAGTCAATATACTTTTAGAGACCTAGGTCTTAGGCTACAGAAATGAAGGCATTTTCCTAGGCCGGCTAGTCCTTAGGGCCGTTGAAGGCAACGCTATTAATTTTGGTTATAAATATTATTAATAATCGTTTAATCAGTTATCGTTATTAGCGATAGTTTTAACGGTCGAATTAATAAGATTTTTAATTTTAATATTATAGGTAATAATCGATATGGGGTTCAACGTGGCTTGATTGTGTGTCTGTGTAAGACTGGCTCTGCAGACTCGAAGCTCTGGCATCTAGATAAATCCCGCATATCCCAGCCCAACTGGGCACGTGCACGCCCAGTGGATCCCCTGGCCTCTAACAGTTACTTGTACTTGTTGTCTTGTCTTTCTCGGCTTCCCCTTTTCCTCTTCTTTTCTTCTTTTCTCGTCAAATCGCTTGCTGGCTGTCCCAATCCCAGTGGGATCCCTTCCTTTCTTGTTTCGTTGAGTTGGCCGTCTGGGTTGCGCGCATCTTCTTTTCCGTTGCCAACTGTCACTTTCACAATCGCATTAGCCGCCCATCCCCAGCGCCACCAACGTCGCTTTCCGGATCATCTATCAAGATCGACCGACCTCGTCGTCGTTAATCCTCTACGGATACCTACCGGCCTTGATTCGGTACTCGAAACACCGTCGCTCTCTTTACCAAACCATCGCCAGTGTCTCCTGGCCCTACCACCGATCCTACGATCACTCAATTCGTTTGCGCAATCGTCAGTTGACCTGACCTTGCTGCCTCTCCCAACCACGATACACCATCTCGCGAGCTCGAGATCACCAGTCCTTCGACACACTACGATCACTACGATACACCAGAGATGCAACTCTGAGTCCAATCCATTTACACGAATCGTTTATTTACCTACCTACCTACCTACCCGACCAACCGAATCATAATCCCACGATACCACGATCCACGATCCACGACACAATGCTTCTACCGCGATACCTCACCTCAGCCATTGCGCTGCTGGCTTCCTCGGCCCTCGCCCAAGTCACCACCGACTGCCAACCCCTCAACAAGACATGTCCTGCCGATCCCGCCCTCGGCATGGACTACTCGTGGGCCTTCAACTCTACTCCCAAAGCCTGGGCCTGGGAAACTACTGTCGGCACCGTCGATTTCGACAATGACAATGGCGCCGCCTTCACCATCAGCAAGCAGGGCGACTCCCCCACCCTGCGCTCCAAGTTCTACTTCTTCTGGGGCCGCACCGAGATCTGGATGAAGGCTGCCCAAGGCCAAGGCATCGTCAGTTCCGTCATGTTCCTGTCCGATGACCTGGACGAGATCGACTGGGAGTTTGTCGGCGGCGAGCCCAACAACGTGCAGACCAACTTTTACGGCAAGGGTGTCATCGAGTCCTCCATTCCCGGAAAGCACGACGTTCCCGGTAACGCTCAGGAGGACTTTCACAATTACACCACCATTTGGACCCAGGACTACCTCGACTTTTACATTGACGGCAACAAGGTCCGCACTTTACTTCCCGCTGAAGCCAACAAAGCCAACGACACTCAATACTACCCCCAGACACCCATGCGCTTGTCCTTCGGTATTTGGGCTGGCGGCGACCCGAGAATGCCCAACGGTACGAAGGAGTGGGCTGGTGGTGAAACCGATTATAATGCTGGCCCGTACACCATGCATGTCAAGTCTGTCCGAGTTACCGACTACAGCGACGGCGAGGAGTATGTCTACGGCGACCGCAGCGGCGATTGGGAGAGCATCAAGATCGTCGAGGGTAACTCCACCATCAAGGAGATCATCACAGCCCCGCCCAAGCAGTCGATGTCAGACAAGTGGAACGGCATGTCGAGCACAACCAAGACCATCATTTACGCCTGCTGCGCCGGCGCTGGTGCGCTGCTCGTCATGGCTGCCGTGTACGTCTGCATCCGTCAGCGACGACGGGGTGCGCGCCAGGCTGCTCTTGCTGAAGCCCAGTACGAGCGCGATCGCGTCGAGCTTGAGCGGTTGCAGAAGGCTGGTATCGATCCCGATAGTTTTACGGAGCAGGCGGCAGAGTATCATGCTGGTGATATGAAGAAGGACGGTATGGCTACTACGACAACTTACAGTGTTCCCCCTTCTCCGCCTCTCGATGGCCCGAACAACACCTCCTCTAATGGTCAATTCGAGCCGATCTCAGCAGTTGGCGCTGGCGCCGCTGCTGGTGCTGCTCTCGGTGCTACCGGTGCCGCCGCCGCCTCCCTCTCTCTATCCCCCCGTGTCGCTAGCCCTGCTCCCGCTCCTGGCCAGCAACAGCAACAATTCAACTCCTTCGACAACAACATGAACATGAACCGCGTCGCCTCGCCTGCTCCAAGCATCCCTTCCTTCGCGGCATCTGCCATGACCCCCACAATCCCCAACGTGACTGGCGGGTACCAGAACCAGTCCCAGAGCCCGTCGTTCCCGCCCAACCGTAGCTTCACCTCTCCGGTCCCTGGCTCGCCTAACCCTCAAGGTTCCATGTACGGAGATATGAACAGAGTAGGCAGCCCCGCTCCCGGGGTAGGACTAGCCCACCCGCAACCCCAAAGAAGCTTTACCGCCGGTCCTACTGCCCCGGGGTTCGCGAGCCCGCAGTCGGCGAGCTTCAACTTCAATAATAATAACAATGGGGGCTACAGCAGCCCACAGGCTTCCACATTCGGCGGAGCGTACGGTCAGCAAGCACCCGGACTTGGAACACAGTCTGGTGTTGCTGGTTACGGTCAGGCTGCCGTTGGTCAAGTACCTGACTTTGGTCTGCCGGGTCAAAATGGATTTGCGGAGGGGAGGGATAGTTATTGGGGTGATACCCGTGATGATGGGCATAACCAGGGGCATATGAACAACGGGGGATACAGGTGATGATGGGTGATGACACGGGGGATGTGGGATGCTGGGAATTTGAAGAGGTGGCAATTCCAGCTCGCGTCGTTGATTGATGAGATGATATGATTGACTGCCTTTTACGGCTCAACTTTTACTACTTACGAGACCATTTCTTTGCTTCTCTTCTCAGATACGTCGCAATACGTTTGACTTTTACTGGGTACACCATTTAGCATCACTAGAAAATAGAGAAGGAAAATTTTGGGGGGTTAGATTTCGTGCTACTAAAATGCAATGACGAATGCATTCAGGGTTATGATGGTCGAAGGATCGATGTTGGTGTTTTGGTACATGTTCCTCACATAAAACAATCAACGTGCAGTACATAAGTACATGTCTGGACGCCAACTTTCAACAATTAGGAATGATTGATAGCCGCTTGCCCGGCTAGCTCAATCGGTAGAGCGTGAGACTCTTAAGGAGTTCCTCCGTAATCTCAAGGTTGTGGGTTCGACCCCCACGTCGGGCTCAATTCCCGTCATTCCTTCATTTTTTTGCCCAAAATTCTTTTTGTTCAATGACTTATTCATCGTGCTTGCTGGCATTTCGTGGAAAGGACTGAGAGCGAGTCTTTTTGGCTGGGTTTCAAGGCTCTTTCCTCTTTTTTTATGAGTGAATGTGATAATCCCCTTGCTTGGGCATGCTTTGTCCTTTTGGTTCGAACAACGGGCTTTTTGTTTTTATTGCTTTGATATCTTGCACGCCTTTCGGAGACTATTGGGACATTTTTTCCTCTTCAGTTTCTCTTGTTCGGAAGTAGTGGTGTGGTGTAAATTCGGTCAGTTCACGGCTTCTCCATCCTAACTTGTTCGTTCGTTTTCCTACGCTACGGCCTCTTCCGTGACTACGCCATTATGGTCAATTGTTCTTCCCCGGGGAGAAGCTACTAGCATTCGGCTCGGATTCCTAGGATGTGCGTTGGGGATTGTGTCGGTTTCTCGCCTGTTGCATTCGTACGATATTCCAACACGAACCGCCTCCTTGTATCCAACCAAGAACCATGGCACAGCAGATGTATCGACCCTGGGGACAAAATCATGATGCCCTCCGTTTTGTCTCTGCTGATGAAGTCGTCCTCCATCCATGCAACGTTCCAAGCCACCTACCGACCTCATCACACTCCTGCTCTGTGCTCCTCCCCTCCCCTCTCCGTTTCGAAAGCGCCGCCTCTTCGACCACGCGACCACGCCCCACGCTCCACGCTCCCTTCACGTCCACATTCAGCTGTCCGAGATCGAAAAAGTCGAGTTCATGTTCGATGTTGTACAGTTGCTTTTCTCCTCATTTATGTCGAGCTAGGTATTGTACAGCAGCAATCCCGTTTTGTATAGAAACCCCAAAGAACAGAACGCCTGAAAGAAATGCCGGTTATGGTACATGGTGTAATTGAATGGTGGTGTCAGATGATTCGGTATGCGAGCATTACGGGTGGAAGAACCGGGTTTGTCTGGTGGTATGGAATCGAAAGATGCGTTCTCGCTCGGTATCTTGCTCGCTCAAGCATTGGTCTTTTGCTCCTGCACCGGTTGCGACTTCTTGTACTTGGGCTCTAGGATGCCGACCTGTTTCGTGGGTGATTGCGATGTCAGCAAAAACGTCCGGGTTGGCAAGATTTGGAGAGACAAAACGTACATAGGACAATAACCTCCAAACAGTCTCGGTCGGCTGAGCTCCCACACCTATCCAGTACTTCGCCCTCGTGACGTCCAGCTTGATGTCCTTGTGCAGCTTCCCCGAGGTGTCGTAGGTGTCCTTCTTGGGGACGGGGTCGTATGTGCCGATGACCTCGAGAGGCTTGCTGTTGCGCGCGGTTCTAGGGAGTAAGAGTTAGCTGGCTGTCTGCCTGGTTGTATCGCAATCGAAAATTCCGTACCTGGCGTGGGCGACGACAATGTTGTAGAAGGGGGCATTGGTGCGCCCAAAGCGGGCGAGTCTGAGCTTGAGAACCATATTGGGTCGCGGGAGGTCGGAGGGATCTGGACAGGCACGGTTGTGGAGGGATTGTCGCCGACGAGCTTCGAGATCTCGAATCTTTTGCGCGGACGTCGGCGAGGTCGCGCGCTGATTGCCGGATCGCTCACTGAAAGATTGTGGGGTGCTGCCGGGCGCCCAGGAGCTGGTATCCCGGCAGGCAATTGGCCCAAGGGTACGTACAGGCACCTTTGCTTCACGAGCCACTGGTTTCTCAATTAAAGCCACATTCAACTGTGAGTGTCAGCCACACACTTCAGATGTCCCGCTGCTCCTGCCCTGTATATCAGGACTCGGCACCGACCCCTGACCGACGGGCCCGTGCCACATAGCACTTACCCCGCTTATAGCCCTCTAGAAGGAAGGCATTAGTATATATATAGAAGGAGCCCACGAAGGCAAGAAGGAAGAGGTTATTCAGAATAGAAGGTAGCCAAGTACACGAGGAAGTCAGGTACCTGGTAAAGCCTAATAAGAAGGATGGTTAGGGACGGATTCCATATACTTAAAATTAGCCGCCCCAAGCTTCTAGAAGTTCTAATTTTTCTTCTTATCTTCATCTTCTTCTACCAATCAATTCAATTGACACAAGCCTTTTCCTTAACAATTTGGTACGCCACTAAGAATATAAGGACGCGGATCTTCTTTTTTTCTCTTACTAGCTTCTACTCTTCCCTCTAAACTTAATTATTCTCTTAGTTTACCCTTAAATATTATTTATTTCTCCTTCGCTCCGCGGTCGTCTTCTCTTCGAAGCGATTACTATTTCGGTTACATTAATTGCCTCCCTTTATAATTCGATATTAATTACTAGGGATAAAGAACTAATCACATTATTAATACTATTAATTTAGCCGTCCTTGATTACGACGTTACTACTATAGTTGAGGCTATAAGCTAACTTTTCTAATTACTAGCTTGGTTTCTCCCAACGTTAATAATACCACATTACATACCTTATACCCCTTAATACGTCGTTAACGGTTAATAACTACTAATCTTCCCTAATTAGAACCTCTATTAATATTAAATTATTAATTACCCCGCTGCTACCAATTAAAGTCTTCGGCCAGCTTACTCCTCTCCTCTCCCTTCGACTACTTATTTCGATTCCTTGTTTTAACTACTTATTTCGACCCTTTATTTCGACTTTATCATTCAATTCCCTCGACTAGCTATATATATCCTTATTACTATTAGAAATGCTAAAATTGGGTAAATTAATATTATCGATTTTCTAATTTATGATCGAATAAATTAATACTATTAATTCTTTTACATATTAACTAAAAAAAAAGTATATTAATTCCTTCGGTTTTACAATAATTAATATTATTAGGCTATTAAACTTTACTCCAATAAGGATATTAATATAATTAAGGAGATTGTAGGAGATAAATACGATTACAATTATACGATTCTATTAATTTAAAAGTCCTTATACCCCTTAAATTAATATTAACATAAAAAGTTATTCTAGACTTTCCTTAATAAATTTCGAAAAATTTATATTAACTAGTTTCAATACATATTAATTTTATAGTTACATTAAATTTTATAATTACATTAACCTTTATAATTACATTAAATTTCTACTTTAGTATTATATTAGGCTTCTACGTTAATATTGCGTTAAACTTTATTATTTATATATTAATTAGGATTAATTTTATTATTTACTAATAATTTAATATTTTTAGCGGAAAGGGTACGTTAAATGCATATTTACAACCAAAATAAATAAAAATCGCCGTAACTCCTTAATACGATTTCAGTACTTCATTAAAAATTATTCTATATTTTTAACGTAGATTTAATATTCTAAGATCTCTAAAGTATTTATTACTTTTATATATTAGCACGTTATTTACGTTATAGAAAAATAGTAAGTCTTAACTTTAATTACTTTCGACCGGATTTAATTTTATAATAAATCTTAGCGGCCTTTATTTTAAATATTTTCTACTAGTTTTATTATAATTTATTTAGACCCCGCGGTAAATATAATAGTAATCTATAAATTCCTAGCGCTTTCATTATTAATACCGCTAGCAATTCTAATATCGAATTATTAGATTACAAGGACGACTTTAATATCGAAATCCTTAACGTAAATTTATATATCGAACTGCTTAATTTTAATTACTTTAATATTAAATTCTTTAATACCAATCCTCCCTAATTTAAATTCCCCTAATTTAACAACAGTTTCTTACCTCTACTTAAATTCGTTACTCCCCTGTTACTACTTGACTTCGTCTTACCTATCCTATTATAGTATTTATTTCACGGGTTTAGAGACTTTAAAAACGTTATTAATAAAATCGGCGATTTAAGTAATATAGCGGATAAAAAGGATGAAAAGGAACTAAAGGATAAGATATTAGAGGTTAATACCCTAGTAATTATTATTACCGAAATATTGAATAAAATATAAGTAATATTATAGGGCTAAGGCCCGGGTTGTGGCGTTCTGGTTATCGACTAGAGCTATTATAAGGCGCCGTAGCTATACCTATATAGCCCCTATCAAAACTTCGTATCTCCGGTAGAGCCGCTTCTTAAATAGAATTTTCCTTTTTTATAGAATTTCAATTAAATTATACGACTAGCACTTATATTAACCGTACTATCCCCGTTATATTAAGTTCTATTAAGATGGACCTAATAGAATAAAATAAATAGCTGCTATAATAGTAATAATAGGGCTTACCTACTTAAATAGCCGTAATTAGAATTCCTATAAAGTTTTCCGCTGCTACAACTATTATAACCGTAGAATAAAAAGAAATTATAAGGAGAGGAATTATATGCCTCGTATAAAAAAAGAAAGATTTCGTTAAGGCGCTATTTATTAACGACATATTTGTTTAAATAATAAAAATAGCGTTTAATATATAATTTATTATTTAAAATTAATAAAACCCTTTTAATATTAATATAATTATTACGATAATTATTATTACCCCAAATGTTGTAGTCGGTATTGTATAAGAAACCGCTCCTTATTATAATTTTTAACGTAAGAATATCCGTTAGTTAAAATAGGATAGAACTCCCTCTACGTTTAGTTTTTATATTACCTGACTACGCCTTATATATAAAGAAGAAAAATCGGTAGGAATTATTATTAATGATAAATTAAGCTAATTAATATTATTAGATACTTTCCCGGCTAATAAAATAATTAAAGTAGAAATCTTTTAGCGTTGTAGTAATATTAGCAATATTTATAAACTTAAAGATTTCTTTAATTACTTTGAATTAATTTTTAGTAATAAAAACGAAAGAAGATTAGCTTTAACCCGTTTACGTATTATATAATAGAGAGAGAATTAATTCCTATTAGATTTGCTCTTTACATTTAAAAAGAATTTTATAAAAGTTAAAAGTCTTATTTAGGAAGATAATTCCAAATTAGGCTAATTAGAAACTTCTATATTTAACGCTCTCTATAATTAATTAATTTTAGTCCGTATACCCGAAATTTACAACCTCTATTTTAAATAATTGAAAGATATTATATAGAAATTTAAAGTTAGTAAAACCTTCTATAATATTGGGGATAGTAATAAAGGATATAGTAATCGTCGTTAGAGCTCCTTTTTCCAGCGCAACCTTACCCCTACCTTTAAATACCTTAAAAATATAAACGGTAATATTATAATAGGCTATATTAAAATAAACAGCAAGCCTAATAATAAGGATATTAAATATACTAAATAGGTCTTCTAGGACGAAAGAAATGAATATTATACTTTAAATATTTATTTCCGTTGAAGAATTAATGGATATATAGTCAGTAATTATATATATTAACCAGTATAATATTCTCCTATTAATATTAAATCTATTAAAATTAAACCTAAGGTAGAACCTATATTAGAAAATAATAATAAGTATTCTTCCTTTGAAAAATCGGAAAAAGAATAGTTCCCTTATAAAGTTGAATAAAGGAGTATTCTAAAATATTAAATAAGGAAGCGGGAGTTAAAAGCTTCCCGAGACTTATAGAGATAAATATTATTAAAATACTTATTGTTATTAATAATAAAAATTGTTTCTATACCCTTATTAATGAAGGTTACTAATATTATACTATAATTAGTAAAGGTATTATTAAAAAATTAAAAATTCTTATTATACTTATACTTAAGAAATAAGTATAAAGAATTTTAATAAAAATAGAAGGGGCGGAGATTAAAAGGATTATTGATTTTAGGGTAAATATTTATAGGTATAAATCTATGCTTTATATTTACGTAATCTCTAAATTAAAATTCCCTATTATTTTAGGGAAACCATAATTAATTGTTATAAAAGCCTACTTTATTCTTTATAAATATAGATTCTAATACGGGGTAGCCGGTTGCTAAATCCTATACTTAGGATATTCCCCGAAGAATTTTTCCTTAAAGGCTAAGGAATTTAGAGAAGTAATATATTATTTAGCAATTACGTTCGTAGCTATAATAAATAAAATTAAAAAAAAGAGCGGCTAGTAAACTATAGAGTTAACGATATTCGTAATAAGTTTATAAAATATTGAGAAGGCCCTTAAACCTAAGGTCGTTATGATAAATAAAAAACTACGAAAGATAATCCTTATAAAGATATATAATTATTTATTCGTTTAAAGGTAAGAGGAGGCCGATAAGGTTAATCCTAACCGCCTAAGCGTCGATTATAAAATTGAGTTTAAGAAAAACGAAAACGGTAAGGAGCTGCCTTTCCCCTATAGTTACTTTTATAATATATTACGAGAGGAATTCTTAGTACTAAAAAAAACCTTTAAAAGTTTTTTGAATAAAGGTTTTATTTATATTAGTAATCTAATTGCCGTTGTACTAATTTTCTTTATGAGGAAGCCGGGAGGAAGTTTTTAGTTCTATTATAATTATAGAGCTTTTAATATTATTATTAAAGTAAATTGGTACTTATTACCCTTAATTAAAGAAACGTTTAAAATTATTATTAAAGTGAAATAATTTACTAAAATAGATATTATATAAGCGTTCTATAAAATCTTAATAATTAAATGAGAAGAAGGGAAAATAATATTTTAAATTCGATATAAATTACTTAAATAGTTAGTTATACTTTT